TTTCTGTGGGGGTGTTTGTTTTGTCATGTTTTTGTTCAACGCATGACATTTACCATTATGTGAAGGCGGACTTTAAATATTTGAACCAGACAACCCACACAACTGACAACATGAGCATTTATCTACGCAAGTAGGGCGAGATGGCATGCAACAGTTTAGTCACTGAGCCTGAAAAGCATGTGTTACTGAAGACTAGGATGGTGCAAGCTAGCTTCATCTTATAACATTGCACAGAGACCAAGAAGGGGTGATTTAGAATGTTACATATGAGTGAAGAAGCGGAGGCCCACTGAGAATATGTGCCCAACAGTCTAGTAAAATTAGTGGAAAAAATCAGAAATTGGTAAAGAAATGGTTTTGTCTTTATATCATTTACAATAGTTATGTAAACAATAAATATAAATTACTCCCTTGGATGTTCATGTTATGTAGCTTTTGGGGGGGGGGGGGGGCCGGGGGGGGGCAAAAACTATGGAAAAGGGTATTTTTAAAATAAAATTATATCTGAAAATGAGTCCAGAAAATGGTATAAAAGATTGTCCAGGACTTCTTTTGCCACATATTTTGTGCATTTTCAGTCAGTATTGATCAAATGAAACAGAGCGTACTTATCTTTGTGATGAAGCTCCATAATCGAAAAGATGTCTGTTAACTACCATTTGGATTGAGGGAGCATTTACATTTTGGGTATGTTTCACATTATTGTAAATTAATCATTTTTTTTCTTTTCCTGTACCTGTAATAAATTATTGTGAAATTATTGGTGTGTAACGATCGGCCAAGCTGACTATTTAAGACGAAACACTGAAACTACATGTAGTACAGGATTTCGTGTCTACTGTAAAGGCTAGCACATTTCCGAGGTGACGCAATATTATGACCTCGGAAGTGTGCTGGCAAAAAACGACATCCTCGTGATCTCTTCGTGACCCCGCAAACGTGTTGGCCCCGAGAGTGTTTGTTTGGCGTAACCATGGAGTCGGTAACTAATGATGGATCAAAGGGAGGATCTCATCCTCCTTATGACGTCACAAACATTGTGCTTTGTTACCTAGTATTGAAATGTGATTTAAACTATTAATGTAATGTGATTTAAACTTTGACGAGTGAAAGTACTTTAAGGTACTTATCGCCCTTTATATATAAGTAACATAAATTACATTGCGGTAACGTAGTTTACGTCAATAAATGATTACCGATGTTACTTTTCTGTGCACTTTCATTTCAATTCTTTTGCTGTTAGGAAATGTAATTAGGCATCTAAATATTCGATTTGTTGAATGGATTTTATAGGGTTATCTACTTCTCATCAAAAGTTTGGACATACACCACTTACATCAGGCAACTGTTCTCTACTAATTTTGCAAAATATTCCATACTGTTTAAAGGTACTGTTTACACATGAACTGATGTATTGTAAAACAAATTCGTAACGTTGAAAAGATTATTGTCATGAGTTCAGTAAGTGATAAAAGTCAGTGTAAATTGGCGAATTCTTAACAAAACTATACACCACAACGCAGCTGTTCACATGCACGAAGAGAAGTATTTTATTGAATGTTGAAATAAATTTCTAATTGATGAGATGTAAATTAGCCAAGGTATGAAGGAGTTTCAGATAGTATCAAGAGTTTGAGTATTATTTGAAATTCTTGTGTTAAGGGGTTTGCATGGTTGCAATAATCCATCGAACTTATTGATTAATTCAGTTGTGTGCATTTACGAGTGTTGGTAAGTACATCGTTATCATAGCGTAAATTACTTCATGACCCCATGAGATATTCAGGCGTGACTGTTTCCAGAATGGTCGATTTAATATGACAAAAACGTTGTCATACCATCGATGTCACGTATATAACAATGTCAAGTGGATTTCTTTTCAGATACAATGGTCAATTGATGCCCAAAAGCAACATGTGTATAGAGAGACAGAAATGGGAGCAGCATATCTCAAGATGGAGACCGAGCTTTTATCGATAAAAGCGTTATAGTTGTGATGATTGACGATTTTGTGTCGTTTTCATAAAAAAGATATGTGTTACAGACTGCTTACTTGTTTTCTTGCTGAAATACATTTTGATTCTGTTATCAAAAGTGGTTGTCATTAATGAAATTGTATTAGCAGTAGTAACTTACGTTACGGCCGAATAACATAATTTTCCTGAACAACCAACAGATATATTTGTACTATTGTCGATTGTTTGTCATCGACCAGCTTTACAGTTTCGCCCTCGGACAGAAAATCATCAACTGATATTTCTATTTTTGGTTAGTGCTGTTGGTTAAATCTTTTACTGATATCATTACACAGTTGAATAAGTAGTTCACAATTTTAATTACTATGTGTATATATGTATTATATTTGAAGCAAATTAATTCACCCCCATAGTTCAATGGATCTGTGTACAATCTTGATCTACCAACTCCTGAGCGTGTCACGCAATTCAGTTTGAATAAAAGAGCGTAAGCATATAGTAATAGTTTAACGTAAAATATAACACGGAATTGGTATTCATATATTTGTGGACACATATTGTGAAATCTGGACGTGCCTGAGTGTGATTATGTTGCAGAACATTAGTTCAGATATTGTACTAACTGAAAAAATGACCGTGTGGCGGATTTCATTGACTGTATTTTTTCACAGTAATAGACCCCAATGGTCGTGGTTTTCTGAGAATAGGTGTACGTGTGTGTTAGTGTCGGGGACACAATGACGTTGACACATGCAAATGTGATCACGTGGACCCACCTGTGACACGCCGATGGTACGTAGAACTTCCAATCGTTGCATGATCAATATGTTTTCTTCCTTAATGATTGCACGTGTTTAATAAACTGGTGCGTGTCTGGATGATAATGGTAAATGTCATATAGCACCTCCTTGTCATTGCCTCGCCGAGGTCACGTGCTTCATGATTGCACAATGTTTTGTTTTGGAGTTTGTTTGTTTGCATGATTCTTACAACAGAATATATGTCTTCGTACAGCCGAGCCTGGATTACAATGGTAATTATCATACCTTCATGTAAACTACTTTAATTTCATTGGTCAATGACGCTTTAACAAGTTTCCGTGTCACCCCTCCCAGGAGGGTGACAACTGGAAATAATATTACCTGCTGCCACGGTAACCGCTAAGCTCTCCACCGAGAAGCTGAAGCGTTAACAATCGTACGACGTCGTAATATGACGCATGCCGTGCCCGGAGTTCGAAAACCGTTCGATCAGCTGTTTTTTGTGTTCACTTTGTACAAATATATTTTACCGACTTTCACTGCTTTATTTTAGCTATTTTATACATTATTGAGTGGTTTGCACACTCAACTTAAACATAATTAATCATTTTATAGCAGTTTTAAACTTGTCAGAATATGTTTCACTGATTTTAAAAATCCAGTCGAGAGGCAGACGCCATTTTGTTTACATGTTATATAGTCCGTCGCGATCTTTAACATAAAATATAATGATGTTTTGTACCTTTAACATGGCGGTAAGATAAATACGTTGTATGCTTCTCCCTCGGGTGACACTGCCACAAAAAGGCCTACATCAGACCGTATTACCCTCGAGAGAAGCATACAACTTATAATGTCCCATGGCACATGTTTTCACTCTTTTTTTGTTCCAAAATGCCTTGCTACAGGAATCAATAGATTTAATGGTATGGTCGAGGAGGTTCGCCTCAAAACAAATCAAAGCTGCTGTTGAACTGATTCCAGATGTCCGAACTATATACCACACAATGATGTGGTGTGTGCATGATAACTGGATATCGGTAGGTCAGAGTGACCTATCTGTCTCCTGCCTCTACATATGAACAACGTTCTGCATTAACTCTGAACTATGAAGATAACGTGAAATCACGGCTGTAACAAGGAGTAGCTTAGTTTTTTCAGTCAGTATATGCTCCGTGTAAGGAATTATTGGATCTGAATACCCTAACACATTGTACACTCAACAGTATCCTCTGAGAGGTGGATTGCCTGAACTCGCATGGTGTGTGAACTAGCCAGGTCAAACTGAAGAGTCCATTTTCCTTTCGAGCGTATAGCAGCTCTATCACATTACCTGTCATTAAACCAGTCAAAACGACATTCATTCGCCCCAATTTATTCGAACAATAACAGTGTGCGTTCCCTTTCAGACACAATAGATATAAGGAGCATGTCAGCTGATGAGATCACATTGCCTCTCGTTAGCGTGGTACACACGTGGACTGCACAACATATAAAAATAAACACGTTGGCTTTAAACAATACCCAACCTTGACTATCCTCTGATTCCATACAGTGGTAATGGCGAAAGCAGCCTCTAAAATTATATACCCACAAGGACAAGCATGTCCTGCACTAAAGGTAGTATCCGCTAGCCAGAGTTGTAGTTTTTGCTGGACGCCAAGTGACCGATTGAACTAAAATGCAATAGCAAGAAAGTGCATTTAATGAGTTTAGAAATAAAAAACTGATTTGCCACGCATAAGTGTACCGATCACAAGTTCTACTTGGAGATAACTGCACTTCGCTTCTTACGCAAGTGATGTCAAGGCTGCTCATTAACATGTGACGCTGATAGCCCTGACAGGATGCTTTGTTTGTTTGCATGTGACATGTTGTACTTTGTGCAGGGGGTGTCTCCCTCAGTTGGGTATATTAGGTCTGAAAGTTCTGGGCTGACGGAGAGGTGTGGAACATCCATCCAGAACCGTCTCCTGTCTTCTGCGACCAACTGTGGCTGTCAGCGAGTGGAGCATTGGACAGGTAAGGCTCAACTGCACTTTATTTCCTATTGCCACTTTATTTGTTTAAGATCCGGGTTAGAATTGGTCTTCAGCAACCCATGTGTGTCGTAGGAGGCAACTAACGGGATTGGGTGGTCAGGCTCATTGACTTGACACATGTCATCGTATCCCTATTGTTCATGTTGTTGATTGTCTAGCTCAGGCGCGATTATTTCAAGAACGCCACCGTACAGATGGACTATTGCTGAGTGCGGCATTACAAAACCAACCAACCAATTAATCCTGGCCGTATTGACTTTGAAATTATCAGAGAAGAATCATGTGTATCTTCAGACAGGCAGACTATGATAGATGTAGACAAGCTGCACCAGAACGACGATGCCAGTTGTTCCTCGAGATTCTGAAGAAAGAAGGAGTCGAAGGGTACAAGGCATTGTGCGCTGCCCTTGATACGTCACAGCCATTTATCAAGGCACAACTTGATGCTACTGCAGCTGAAGAAGGTATTCGAATCCAGGACACATTTCTACGAAATAATTTCATGCACTTTGAAATGTTTCAGGTGGCTCCTTTGAGAAAATATTGAATGTTGATTTCTATATTGAATCAATACAAATAGCCAGTTCACCTTTCACATTTTACTTTTCCCATTTGAGATATCAGGACATATCGATATCATGAATCATTTAATTCTTCTTATTCAGGTGATGAAGATCTCGTCTATGTTAACGTAGACATAATGGAAGACCGGTATAAAGAGGTACTTGCTGAGAAAGATGGAGAGATAGCCGACTTGCGCTCTGTAAGTTACAGCACAATCCTGGCTACTTATCAAGGGAGAACTGCCTTACTGTTGGAACAAACTGAATATTGTGATAATTTGTCAGCAAACATGTGTTACTTTTATAATTTTTCAAAATGGTATTGAATACTAAAATGCAATTTTCAATTATTTCGCAATTGTGTTTCAACACGTAAGGTGTCCCATGTATGTGTATGTGTATGTGTATTTTACCAATCGTTCACGTTTCTTTCCAGTCAGTGCAGAGACAGGAACAAAATCAACAAAAGTCCCTGGACCAGGCTGACCTGAAGGAGACAATTAAGAAGGATAGAGAGGAACACAGGTCACAGATAGAAAAGCAGAATGAGGAAGCTGAAGCCTGTAAGTTGACATTTATGTAATATATCAGAGAAATTACATTTGGTGTAAAGGTTAGGGTGGTGAAAATAACAACTGAATATTTAATCCTTTGCCTATCAACGTTTTGTTTTTGTGTATCAACCAAACATCGAACCGAAGATCGATTCTAACTCGGATTTTCACGGGCACTGTGTTGTTGCTCTGGCAGCGTGGTATAGATTCCGTACCATTAACAAAATGTGACAGTCTGGTGGACAACCGAATCGTCATGAGTGTTATCCTTCTAAAGATATCGTATACTGACGAGACTGTATTGTGTTTCGACTATCATTTTCGTCTTTCGTTTTGCACCGTTCCTGTTTGCAACATTGTACTTTGAGATTCACAACTGCCAGTGCCCAGTTGCCACAAGCTGCATGGGAAGTCTGTGTTCCACATGCACTAGGCTGTGCTTGGGGGTTTGAATCAAACATGGTTATGGTGTGTTTCAGAACCCTTGCTTTTCGTTGTTTTTGAAAAGGTTTCATTTCACTCAAACGCAACGAATATTGAATCAGTTGCTTCACTGCAAGTTTTAACATGTCGTTTAAAGTGCCCATTAAGCACACAAAAGGTTGCATTTACCTGAGAGTATGAATGACCTCACCACGTTTAAGTTCTTTATAACTATAAAATGTTAGGGCATTCCCATACTTTTTGGTTGTAGTATATATACCATACCGACTGTGAAACAATTTATTAATGCCCTGAATGATGATCCTTTGCCTTTCCCATTTCAGTGAAGATGCAGTTGTCAAACTTAAGCAAGGACTTGCAGCACACCCGAGTCAAATGTGAGACGTTAGAAAAGGTGGGAATTTAATCTTATATGGCTATTCATCAAGAGAGAACTTTCCTTTAGTTGCAACAAACTGAATATTGCGGGAATTTGTCTTGCAAGCATGAAGTACTTTTGTAATATAATAAAATGGTAGTGAATACTAAACTTACATTTTCAACAACCTCAACGTTTATACAAAAGAAGAAGTGTTTTCTTTTGATGAATATTCATAAGATGCTCGAACAACGTGTATGTTTGAAGTTCTATGTGTTTTACCGGTCGTTCACGTTTCTTTTCAGTCAGTGGAGAGACTTGAGGATCAAAATCTACAAAAGTACCTGGACCAGGCTGAACTGGAGGAGACAATTAAGAAGGAAAGAGAGGAACACAGGTCACAGATGGAAATGCAGAATGAGGAAGCTGAAGCCTGTAAGTTGACATTCATATCATATACCAGAGAACAAAAATGTGGAGGAAATGTTATGTCAGTGAATATACCAACAAAATATTTAGTCCTTTGCCTATCGAAGGTATTTTTGGTGTAATCTTCAAACCGGCTACTCGCCTCTTATGGCAAGCGTGGATTGCTGATGATCAATTCTAACTCGGATCTTCGCAGTCACCATTGTTGCTCTGGCAGCATGTTATCGATTCCGTAGCATTAACCAAATGTGACTGCCTCGTGGACAACCGACTCGTCATGAGTGTTGCCCTCCTGGAGGTATGGTATACTGAACAATCTGTATTGTGTTTCGATTACCATTTTCATCTTTTGTTTTGCGCCATTCCTGCAACATTTCACTTTGAGGCCTTGACAGCTAAAACACATTGCTTTTATGAACAGACTGTTCGAGTTTCATGCCCATGAGTTAGTTATTGAGTTGAGTTCTACACCGCTTTTAGCAATATTAATCCAGCAATATCTCACATTGTACCCATATGGGGAATCATGCCTCCTTCTGCAGTTTTAACATGAACGGGCCATCTCCGAATCAGGACCTTCAAAAGGAGGAGATGCTTTCCTATGTAATGAAACATTGATTATTTATTTTATTGAAGGTACTTACGTTTTCTGTTAGGAAATGAAGTATGGTATAACTTGCAAGATGGTTTTACATATATGTTTTGATAATGGTGGATGTTCAATGACTGGTTAAAAATGGGTTGTCTATTACAATCAAATATATTGTACCATATACCAGTCTAACTGTGAAACAAAATATCAATGTCCTGAATGATGATCCTTGGCCTTTCCCATTTCAGTGAAGATGCAGTTATCAAACTTAAACAAGGACTTGCAGAACAGTCGGGCAAGATGTGAGACGTTAGAAAAGGTGGGAATGTAATCTTGTATTATGTGTATGTTTTTACACTTTTACAACAGCAACAATTTAACTGAAATTAGAATTAACTTCTAGAACTAAAATGCATTACAACACATGTGATAAGTCCTTGACAGGTGTATATGATGCAGTGATAATCGTCGTTACAGAGATTACGAGACGAACAGGAGGCATACGATGCTCTAGTGGGTGCTCCAAGGTCACAGTCTCCAGACAGGATGGACAATACAGAGCAAGTCCAACATGCAGGGCAAATGGGTGAAGGAACAGCCTTTCTTATAACTAAAATGGTTACAAACACGATGACATCCTAAAGAATAATGCAAGCTTGAGTAAATTACCCTATATCTGTTCGATTTATTTTTATCCCTGATGTGTTACTTTTCTGCCACCAGGTTCTGGGGAGAGAATGTGCCAATTTTCAACTCAGTCATGTTGTGATGGGAGTCAGCTTCGTCTTCTTCCATGCCTTCATTCTGCCTGCAAGCCATGCCTTGATCACCAAGCTACACAGGCGGAAGAGAATTGCATACACTGTCCTTCCTGTGGCCTTGACTTCACCATGGAGAAGACAACGGTAGATCATGTCAGGCGCAATGAAGCTGCCTATAAAGTCAACGTTGATGGTGAGATGAAATGCAGCTACATCGATGAGGATCATGATGCAAAGGCAGTGGTGTACTGTCACGAATGTGATGACAAGCTCTGCTCCGACTGCCATAAACACCACGACACGCCGAAACGGAATCGAAATCACAGAGTGACTGAGATTGACCAGTCAACGAATATCCCTAAGAGGCAGTGGCTGAAGGAGGCTAGTTGCAGAGACCACCCTGACAACAAACTGCAGCTGTATGACCACACATGTAAGAAGACAGTCTGTCTTATATGTGTGCATGGGGCCCACAAAGATCACAAGAATGAAGACCTGTATCAGGCCTATGACGTAGCGAAGGGTCAGCTGGAGGAACAAGTGAAGAAACAGCAACTTAAATTGGAAGATGTCACTGGCAGGATGAAAACTGTCACAAGCCACCAAACTGAACTGCGAACTACACAGAGAAGACTGGAACAAGTTGCGACTAAAGTTTGCAAAGGTGTTGCTGCAAAGCTGCTTCATCGACAGAGACAACTCATCGAGGAAATTCAAGTGAGTCTACAGTCCCCATACAGAATGGTATGACACTTTACATGGCGTCCATACTTCTATAGTATCAACGATAGACTACACCCAGAGAACACTTGAATCTACAAGACGAGATGAGCTGATTACTCTCACAGATGTACTGCAGACGAAATGTGATGAAAATCTGAAGATGAAGCTTCCAGAAGATGACACACGAGCCACGAGAATCCTTCTTACCTTTCAAGGTCAGAGAGCCCTGGAGGAACTTATCAACACATTTGGTGGTCTCGCCTCCAGTCTCAACATGGATCATATTCCAGATTCTCAGCCTACTTCACAAGGTGAATATATATAAAGACAATTTACGTTTAGATAATACTCACGAGAATGGACCAGTTTGACTTACTGAATTGAGTCTTTACTTTTATGACTCATCCAATTTGAATAGCTTTACTTAAAACAGAGTGCCTGTTAATCTGTAGTAACGGAACACGTATCCAAAGAATATAATTCGTTTAATTGGTTCAGTTGTTAATATACTTTGTAAATAGAAAGTCAATTGCCAATGACAAATTTAATAGATCAGGTCTGTATTTTTTTCAGAGTTGATGACGATGACATTGAGAGAACGACAAGCCAACGAGGTAATATGTTGTTTGCAAAACGAAACCTTATACTATTTGTATTTGACTTTATATTAATAATGATAATCATAGGTACATGGATTGGTTCTCATCAGGAAACGTCAACCCAACTTCTATACTGCATCTTGTAATGTCATGTGAAAGTAAATATAGTCTCTATATATACTCAAACATATATGTGCGTGCGTGTGTTTTTATTTAGACAAACAAAATGTCAGACGGTAGAAAACGTGGGAATTTGATCATATATAATGGCTATTTATCAAGATAGAACTTCCCCTTAGCTGCAACAAATTAAATATTATGTGAACTTGTCCTGAAAGCATATCTTACTTTTATAATATATTAAAATGAAGCAGAAGTGTTTTTTCGTGAATATTCATCAAATGTTCCAACTAGGTGCATGTATGAGGTTCATGTGTTTCGTGCAGGAGACAATTAAGAAGGAAAGAGAGGAACACAGGTCACAGACAGAAAAGCAGAATGAGGAAGCTGAAGCCTGTAAGTTGACATTTATATTATATACCAGAGAAAATACATGTGGAGTAAATGTTATGTTTGTAAGAATAAGAACTGAATATTTAGTCCTTTGCCTATTAATGTTTTGTTCTCGGATCTTCATGGGCATTGTGTTGTTGCTCTGGCAGCGTGGTATAGATTCCGAAGATGCATTTATGTGAAATATCAGGGAAATATTTAGAGTGTCAATATTATGTTAGTGAAGATAGCAACAAAATATTTACTCTGTTGCTGTCAGTCAAAACAAATTCATTGTTACTCATTAACATGAGACTAGGACAGGCATTAAAAGAAGGGTGGCGTAAGTATCCTTCTGCAATGGGACCTTACGTCCTTGCATTGATACAAACTGTGTACACCAAGCTGGGCGAGCCTGTGAGGTGGAAGCAATACAGGGTGTATCTGGACGCCGGGGTCGGATGGTGTGCTCATACAGTCGTGTTTGGAATTATCGACTCTCAACTGTTCTGGCATTTTGGTATCAATTCCGTAGATGCACCAAACAAATTTGATTGTCTTGTCTAATGGACATGAGCTATGCCCTGCTACTGATATCGTATACCAAAGAGACGGTGTCGTGTTTCGATTATTGTTAACCCTTCTGTATCTTTTGTTTGGCACCATTTCTGTTTACAACATTCTACTGGACGTTGTTTTTTATCAATGAATGATAACCTATTACAGTTATTTACAATGTTTTTTTATGAGCAACCCCATGCGAACAAACGTATTAGGCATCAGGATCTTCTTCGTGCTACACTTCCTGTTAAATCTAGTTGAGGAATAGTTTAACTTGCAAGTTTATCTACCTATGTTGTCACTATTAATTGTGTTAAATGCACTATGGCTGGTAAACAATGTAACCCCCTGGATGCCACAGGGACATATATGTCCTTCCCCTTCAACCCTCAATTTGAAGTCGAATAAAAATCAAAATATCCCACGCACACAAATACACTTCACAGTTTCGAATTCTGCGGGAAATTTCCTGTTTCTTGATACCATCCACTATTATTTTAGACAAAGCTCAAGTGCTGAAAATGACCTTTCAAAATAGGCTTCATCGAAAATGGCGACATTTTTGACACAGTATGAAATCGCGATTCACAGCGTTATTTGCTGTATGTTTTGAAATGTGAAAATCGGATAATTACTGTGAGTATTGAATTTCAAAAATAACATATTTATGATCACTGATATCAGTTTTACATGAAATCGCTAATTATAATTCTGAAACGTTGCCGATGAATCTAGAATCGGTTGGGATGTTTTCGAAAATGCACTTACACGAACACCGTAGAGCGCTTTCCGCCATATTGGATAGTGTTTACAAAATCACGTTTCGCGAAGGCCGGTATTGAGACGCCTATTACATCACGTATATTTCATATTCAGCTTCGAAAAATGCATCACTGAATTCCCCATACATTTTAGAATCAATTTGAAACTGGTCTGTGTCACCAATAATAACTGTCTAGATAAAATGAGACGAAACATATTGGGTGTGAAAACGAACGCTGTGCTTGAAAGACTGCGTTTGTGTGAAATGTAAACAAAGACAAATTCCGATTTTACACTGCGTAGCATTTTCTGAAATTTTTCAACATTCATCCGTCTATTCATTGCTTGCAATGGCTCAATACCTTTAGAATATACATGGAAAGAGTATCGTAGCAAGAAATAGGAAATTATAAATAGATACAATGCAATGATTTGATAATTCATAAGAAATTGTCAAAGTTTCCGTGCAGCGTGACGCCATGACTGACGCCAAATCACGCAGAACGACAACGGTAATTATCTGCATTTCTGTCCTTTTCTCTTACGTATAGTGAAAACGATAAAAACATATAACAATACACAGATAGTCAGAATCATTCTGATTACTTACATCTCATATTTATGTACAAACGATCCCTGAATCAGTGGAAGGGTCCTCGCAAAATCCTGTGTACCCTTGTCAGCAAAGCCGCCATTTTGTAAGAAATCGGTCAGCGGTAGTGATGTCATACGTCAACATTGTTCTACATATTAGGCAATTTCTTTGAGGTGAAGGTCGGTTGAACAAGAGTAAACACAATCGCCATATCCTTCCGATTACACTGTCAGTATTATGATGTATATTTTGCGGATAGTTCGGATACTTTTTCATGAAACTGACTTCAGTATCTACATTTAGCCTTGTTCAATATCATATCATACGTGCATATAGGGTTTACGGTGTTTTATTCTTTGAAAGTTTTTGATTGTTTGAATCATATTTACATAAGAAATTGACATATTTATTGCAATACACCATATTCTAAACCTTTACACAAGTGTTAGAAGATCAAACGTAGCCATAACTGCAACTACTTTAGTTCCTATGATGTACAATATTCAATTTATTTGGACTAATATTGCAATTTCATATGAACAGGTTAATGAACGGTGATATAATTCAACCTTATATGCAAAACTGATAATATTAATGACAATGATTTATATATGGTATGAAATGTATATGCACACATATTTAAAGGAATTGTCTTGTTCATTGCATAATTTTGTGTCGTTTTATAGACAAAAGAATGATGCATATAGATCGGCAAGGTGCGCGTTTGTTGGAAACGTTTTATGATTCTCTATCATTGTTTTCGATAATATATTCAATTCATATTCGATTAAATAATATTGTGATGACAGGATATCAAACTCTAACTATATTTATACGAAAATTGTTGAAAAATATATATACCATCTCATGTGTTAATTCGGACAAATCTTATATCCATATTCTAATATATAGTTCCATATATAAAAAGCTATCTTTTTGCATCTTTCATTGCATTCGTATGAAGAGAAATAGCTTCATAATCATAAACAAACACAATTCTTATCCCAAACAAAATATTCGGGTGTTGTGAAATATTATTTTTATTTACGTTAAATTGATGCCAAACAGGTGCGCGTGTTGTTCACAATAAGATACGCTGTCAAACTGTCTAATTGTTGATATATTCAGGACACTATTTAAATGGAAAAATCAGTCATTTTATGTTTTGTCTAAAGAGTGTTAAATTCTGACATAGAAGTCTAGACCTTTTATACAATTAATGGAAATTAAGTAGAGATATATACTAATCAGCATACCAATGTCGTCTTTTTTTTCCGACGTCGCAAAATGCATAAAACAAGCGATGACGTCAACTAAAATGTTGTATTATTTTCAGCAATTTCGTTACATTTGAAGATATGGCTAGTACTCTGGTAATAACGATGCAAAATTAGTCAAATTACATCTACACAAACAGGAGAATATGGGAATCTAAGAACTAACTTATATATCGGATAGGGCCATTCAAATCGCTATTACGTGCTTTCACATGTAATACGTTGTCATCTTTTCTTATAAATTGTGAAACTACCAAAGCGCATCCGTTCACATTGGGGAACTTTGAATTGGAATAGTGTGGTTCACCATGAATATAAAATAACGAAAATATAGCGTCCGTATCCACAACAAATTCTCTCCAAGTGATCTGAGTTACATTGACCTAGTGTTACGCATAACGGAGTTATGCCCCCTTATCATTATACGTGTATGACCTCTCTGTCGTCGTTTGACGTCATAGAAGAAAATACATTTTTGACATTTATTGCGAGTCATTTTTAATGTTGAGCGTATAACGTTATGCACAAGCACATAAACCCAATTCATATACACTTATGTCGTTCAGATATCAGGCTGTATTTTCTTCGCTCACACTTTCCGTAAAGATGCCCCATTAAAAAATTCGTAGCACAGTGCTTTTATCGGTGCGCGATAAAAAGCGGAGAAATTTACTGTTTTTAACGCATAACAAAAATTTGGACAACATTTAGCAAGGTCTATTTCTCAAACCGCCAAGGTAGTTGCACTTATATTTATACCAACGGATAGGAAATTTAATATTCTACATTTCTGTGTAATTTTATAGCCTTACGTAGATCCAGGACCACGCGAGAGCAATTCTCGCACAACGTTCACTTTTCAAAGCGTATGAAAATGTGCGCCTGAAAAAAAACTCGGCAGCCAGGGGGTTAACTGAGTGCAAGTTCTGTAACATAAAGGTATCTAGGTCATAACTCCAAATCTCAGTCACAAGTATTTTTGGCCTGGACCTGGATAAACACACAGACACCATCAATAATATCTGAATATGGGTTCTCTGAATTTAAGTCTTTTTCAAAGCAGTTTTTATGCATTAACGTATCAATATGTTACACCTTTATTTTTAGCTCATAATCGGAGGATTCATCCCCAGTGAGACAATTCCACGTGGTATTACCGTGAAAGGTATGTACACTCTGATATTATTTTCGTTCTTGTGTGAGTCACGGATCTACCAGTAGGGAATGACATTCTTTCTCTGTTCTCAAACACCGGGTATGCTCACTGATTGTTATCAATCCGCTCATAAAGTTTCTCTGCTATTTTGTCTTGAGGATCCAATGGAATCTCTTGTTCATCATAAATAGCGTTTTCAACAACTGCATGCTTGAAGTGTCCAGGTCATTTAAATTGACGATTCCCACCTGTATTACACTGTTGTTGATGTTGTTGATGTTGACGTTAAAACAATTATCTGTGATGAGCATCAACTTGTGACACGATGATCGAGGGAAAACAATGTATGTATGTATGTATGTATGCGTGCGTGCGTGCGTGCGTGCGTGCGTGCGTGCGTGCGTGCGTGCATGCATGCATGCATGCATGCATGTATGTATGTATGTATGTTTTCACACCTTATCTTTGTTCAGAAACAAATGTGATGTTTTAACCTCTTCTTTAACAGGCTATGTTACAATGCACACCATAAGAGAGGACCGCAGTGCTGTCATCTGTAAGTAAATCTTGATCATTCTGAGTACGCCATACAGACCTCTGATGGAGGAGAGTGTAACTTTGCTCAGCAGACATAGTTTTCTCTGAGGTTTTCATGAAGTAGTGAGTGAGTTTTGTTTTCCGCCGCTTTTAGCAATATTCCAGCAATATCACGGCGGGGGACACCAGGAATGGACTTCACACATTGTGCCCATGTGGGGAATCGAACCCGGGTCTTCGGCGTGACGAGCGAACGTTTTAACCACTAGGCTACCTCACCGCCCCCTTTCATGAAATAAGTAACTTGCTCGGCAAAATACACATATCCGATATCACATTTGTTGTATCCTAATAATATATATCACTAAATTGACTACACACTGAATAAAGGTCAATAACAGGTTGGCCCTCACACAATGCAAAGTAACAAAATCCGATGAAGCCAGGAGTAATGACGACCTTTTAATGACGTCCGTTGTAATTTTACAATGTAGAACAATGTTGACATCTTTGATACCGTTATTTGTGATAGGATTATAACCCCCCAATTCAGACATTTTGAAATAATATATTTAGACGCTACGCCAGATAGATTTCTTGTGGATGTTCAGTTTTCACTCACTATTGGATACAGCTTTACGATTGGTTACGTCACTGACACTCCACGCGTTTTACGAAATATCAGCGAGCCATCCTACTATAGTTCTTGACGACCCGGATTAGAAACTGGTTTCCAGCAAGTCATGGTTTAGAGGTCGCAAGAAGGATCGAGTTGTCCGGCCACCTGGCTTGGTCGATTTCGTTGCATCCCAGTTTCGGGATTCTCATGATTGTTTGGTTCAGGTTCAATTATTTACAGACCTCTGCCATATGCCTGTAAATCATTGCGGAGTGCAGCGATAGACAACAAACACTACTAAACCATCACCACAGGTCAATGACAACGGGTTGAACGTAACTAACAATGAAGGCACTGGATATTCCTTCTACACCTAACTATGAGATCCAAGTTAACTTACAAACCTTTAGCTTTGACAAATAACTATAAGTTAGTCAGCGAGTCAAACTGCTGCCCATGTGGGGAATCGATCCCAGGCCTTCACCCTGACGGGGAAAGGCTTTACGCACTCACTAAAGTACTGTCGGAAATAGAAAACAACCTCTTTTTTCGTATTTATATCTACAATTTATGTAGTTATTATGTGAAAGTGTGAAATATATGTTGAACTAAGTTCGGCCTAACTACAGTCTCAGTGGTAGAGCGATGTGAAACGTAGAAATAGGATTTTACTGAGGAGAGTTTAGTGCAGAAATGAGCAAGGCGCATTGTTTCAAAGTCCAAAGCTATCTATTTGAAACAGACCATGACTTTATGCAAATTAGTGTGCGACGATATTGTATTACAAAGGACACTTTTTAAATGCCAATTTCCAAATTAAACTAAGTTTCATTATAAACAATAGCTGGCGTAAACAATAATAACTTTAATGCTGAAACTATTAAAGATGTAGCTGCCATGGAGTCTCACTATCACTATAAAAAGAAACAGGTAGGAGGGGACGTCTCAAACGGTGTGTCAGGACGGTTGTCTGACTGAGTTTAGCTTTACGCCGCTGTTAGCAATATTCCAGCAATATCACGGCGGGGGACACCAGAAATGGGCTTAACACATTGTGCCCATGTGGGGAATCGAACTGGGGTCTTCGTAGTGACGAGCCAACGCTTTAACCACTAGGCTACCCCACCGCCCAAGGGGACGGTTGTCACAGACGGTGGTTTGGGTCGGGCTGGGGGATAGAGATATCAGCTGAAATAAGATAACCCTTTAGGGGAAATAACCTGGGGAAGCAAGTGGCATGTCATAACAATTTACAAATAATATGCAGTCCTGTCGATCACCGGGTGGCCATGCCACGTATACATTTCGAGACATTTAAAACGATGGCTGATTTAAGCTTTTCTATGGGTATCGTACTCTTTTATATATCTCAACATAAACTTTATGATAGAAAGACACGTAAGATATTAATCAATAGATGAGACAGATTCAACATGAGAAAGCATAAAACATCTTTGAGATGACCCCTTGTGTCCGTACGCAGCACATGCATTTCATTCCAGGTGAGTCGACGGTCCGTCGTCATACCTGGCTGAGCGACCTAATCGCCATCTATAGTCTGATCTATTGTTTTCAGCAGCTATTGGTAAGTTTTGCCCGATTTTAGGAGTAAACATGCTTTTCTGGATATCCTATTACGCATTCCACCGGAGGTCCAGTTTGGCCGAAATTTGTTTTTTTGCGATATATGCTGTTTGCAATAGTGTAAATTTTAGGGATACTGAGTGATAGGCTAAAACAGTTTGTTTTTTTTCTATCTCCGCCAGTACTTTAAATAGTCTACACCGCCTCCCCACGCCTTAGAATGATCGATCTTCAGTAACCCATGCTAGGAAGCGACTATCGGGGCGGGTGGCCAGGTTCGCTGACTTGGTTCACACATGTCGTCGTATCCCAATTAAGCAGATCGATGCTCATGTTGTTGATCATTTGATTGTCTGGTCACGAATCCATTATTTACAGTCCGCCTGTAGTTGGAATATTGATGAGTGCGGCGTATGTATGTGCATCACTTGTAAAACCTCTTTTTAATCACTGCGTTATTTTCTAAAACAGTAGTTTCAGTGGTGAAAAGAAGGAGAGAATGTGACAAAACATATTTTATTATATGCCGTTTTAAGAGAACTGCAGAACCAGTAAATATGTTGGAAATGCCTATATACTGACTTTGTCTGAAATTGTTTCACTACAGTTGTAACGTACAAACGCCCCCCAAATAGTTCATTCTATATAGACAGTGTATTTCAGTCAGCAGGGTTAAATATTTATATGTACGTTTCCGCGTTTATTATATATTGTATTGATTTATTATTATGCTGCAGTATTTTAGTGAGCGCATTAGAAACAGTGATTGTATTGGATCATTTATTTAATTAAATCGTTTGTAGTCCGTGTCATTCACAAATACGTATCTCAATCAACACACACGACCGGACAATTACCTTCCCCACACAGCGAGTGTCTTAAAACAGTGTTCAGTGATTGAAGCGGACGTAGAAGTTACCGGTTCACGTTCTGTCTGTTGAACACTCAAATGTAAAAATATCACCATACAGCAATACTACCTGTCTTATTCTCTACTATTTTGTGTGATATGAGTTTAGAATATCTATGGTTATAGATTTATAGTGAAATGATGTTGAAATATTCCCATAATTAGGCAGCAGTAGTGTCTATTTCTGACCGCCGTCACAACAAACTAGGTCAAACTCAGCTGGGTGAAAAAAGTATTTAAACCAGTGTTTATTTGTTTACCAATGCATGTAGAAATGTATGTCAAACAATTTAAATACCCATCTGGATAGTATCATGTCGTTATTATTACTATCTAGGGCACGAGGATCTTTGTATTTACAGACGGACGAAAATGACAGCCGATCATTTAGTGCGCTGTTTTTGAATCACCAACACGGGACAAACAATACAATGATATATTGTAGGAAATACAGTTGCTAAACTCAATAAAATAACAATTGTATATTTCCAGGTCCTAAACTCCAACTGGACGCTGGTCGAGCCAACACACGCTACTGCCATGTTACTACAGACGGGGAGCTGGCCAACTCACCGCCCGCCACACAACACACGGACAGTGGCAGACTACAGAGATTGTACGGCACGTGTAGCTCTACCCCTATCCCCCTTCCTCCATCCCCCTCTAGTGTCACCCCAGTCCCCCACACAACACGATACTGGGAGACCAACACCAGGGTGGATGTGGTGGGTAGACGGTGGTGTCCTGTCCTGGAGGTGGGTGTGGGGGAGGAGAGCCAGGTAGACAGTGGGAGGTTTGTTTGTGACCAGCGCCGCTCCTGGTGTGTCAGTGTATGGAGCTGTGACACACACCGGGGGAGTGTCTGTACCAGGGTGTATCTGGCGGGGGAGCAGGGGAAGTGTTACAGAAACACAATGTCTGTCACACCCGGCACACAGGCCACCCTCCACTATGGCGTTGTGTTGGATGTCGGGAGGGGTAGAATAGGATTTATTGACGTAGACAGGTCGGTTGTTTTAGGGAAAGTTGATGTGGAGTTCAAGGAGGATCTTCTCCCTGTGTTTGCTGTCTGTCCCATCAGTCGCTACACAGTAAACATGAAGGTAGTCAGTGGGGAGGAGATCCTCATGTCTGACATCAAGAAATCACTCATTAATGAAGCCCTGGCCTAAGAAATAAGCTAAACATGACCCAGTGTAAACTTGTAAATATCACACATCAACTTTATCAGACAAATTCAATACAACAGAACTGAAAGAAGCGGACATAGAAGTTACCTGTTCATGTGTTGTATGTTGTGTACAACAATGTGACAAAGTTAGCTAAATATGTCGGTTTTCTACATGACAGTTTTCATTTGTGTACTAGCAGCATTTTACATCCACACAAAAGTATTGTTATGATTATTATTATGTGATAACTGACCAGTTTATGAAACATTTCATACATTTCTGGGACATGTCACAACTAACAACTGAAAACAAAAACTGTTTCAAATCATGAATATCTTGACATATTTCGTTTCCACTCTGTAAAATAAATATTTTAAATACTCATTTGTAGAGGGTAGAAATTAAAACATAATATTTGTAGCTGTAAAATAGACATGTTGATATCAGTTCAGTGAGACAATGAAAGTGATTGAAGCGGACATATAATGTCCCAGTTTAAATGTTGCATGGTACTTGTTTACAGAACGGAAATTTTGTTACTGAATAGGGTTTTTTTTAATCAGTCCTGTTGTGTGTAGAAAGGATTTTGGTTCCCCGCAAAGGGTTGGCTTTGTGGGGTTTCTTGGTCAATTTATTTGCACAAATAATACAGTATTTTGGGCGTTTGCGTATAAAAATTCAAAATGTGCAACATTATAGCCCGTTATGGAGATTTAAATGAGTTATTGATAGTTGAGTGTGAGTTACTGTCGTGAAGCACTGGGTCTGTCTCTTACGGTGGGGTGGGCAGAGATGGGTCAGGGGCTGATGTGTACAGCTTTTTGAGAAAGGGGGGTGCACACTGGTTAGAAATGGAAGGGGGTGGGGGGTTGCACACTTCATTTTCCCGAGAGTTTGTATGGTCATTTAATACACTTTCAGGACACAAGAGGGGGTCGCAACCCTGCACATACACACACCTCCCCAAACCAACCACCCCCCTCTGGATCCGCCTATGTGGATGTGCCACGAGCTTTAAGCCAATTCTAATGCCAGGCTTTATGATTACACAATACCAATCTATATTTGTGGCCAGTTTCTGTATCCAAATTCTGCCTTTATCACCATGGCATAACTTGATACTCAATAACTGCAGCCAACCCCCCGCTATATTGTACTCAGATCTGTCTTAGTAATTTACAAGGTATACCCAGTGGGGTAAATCATCACCTAACTCCCGCTGTTAAGAACTACTTGTATTTAAGTGGTATGTCAAGTCGACAGGTCAACTGTTATTACATGTTATTTAATGTATGTAATACTACATATATCAGTGCCAATACTTTACATTTTTCTTTATATTTTTCTATGAATTATCAATTTTGTTTATGCAATGTGACCCCAAACTACGTTGCTTTATAAAAATCTGTCGAGAGGTTGAATGACTAATCTTTCACGGACTAGTGTGCATCTTTAGATTCTGAATAACTGTCATTTATAAATCTCAAAAATATTTGTTGACCTGTGAAATATATCATCCATTTAACACAGGTTTTCATTATAGACGGTTGACAATGGTTGGTGGTGTCAGTAATAATCTAGATTAATTTTACAGAAAAATCATTACAATCTTGCCTCTTACATTGTTGCAGCTGTTTTATGTAAACACCACGAAGCTGCCCATGTTGTGTATCGTGTAACCAGAATTAGTTAAAGAAACTGTAAACATTGGCAGATTTATTCTCTTAATCGGTCGCAGTATATCTCCAGATAATTGCACCTTGTGTAATATCCCTCAAGATTGTTGCATTGATATAACTCTCACTTATTTGTTCTGCACTGTGACACTGCTCCAGCCTATCTGAAGGTCCTCCTCACTCCCTATCTCCCTGCCCGTAGACTCCGTTCATCTGATCAACTCCAGCTCTGTGTACCCGTCACGGGGACAAAGTTAGCTAGCCAGGCTGTTTCTGTTGTGACTCCAACTCTGTGGAACAGCCTCTCTCAAATCCGCTGACTCTGTTCAGTCATTTCGCCGCGACTAGAAAACCTATCTCTTCAACCAGTAACTCTGTTTAATTTATTTCAAATTTTGTGAAGCACCACTGAGCAGCCAACCGATGGACATTAGGCGCTGTACAAGTGCATTATTAGGGCTCCTTGCTGCTAAGCAGGAGACCTATTGTAATTACTAATGTTTTTATTAGGTCTTCAGACGACAGTCTGGAAGACCTACTATTATTATCCGAATGTTCTTCTTATTATTATTATTTGTACAAATTTTGTACCCGCTCCCCTGACCTAACCGCTGGGTCGATTTTTATGAAACTTTCAGGGATGATAGCCTGTATGCTGAAATTGATACAATGTTGAAAAAATCCCGACTTGCGGCTTCCGGTAAGGGCAGACAACCCAAAATGTCGAAATCTTTGCACCTGAATAACTCAAAAACTATAAGAGATAGATTGACCACATTTTCACTCAATGTAGACAACATCATTCCCCGTCGATTCAACACATACCGGAAGTTGGCCGGCAGGTCAAATTTTCCGCTATTTTGAAAAAACTGAATTTTTTGCCGATTTTCACGATTTGATGGTGCCCGTCTTTAAAAATCTTCTTCTCCAGAACGGCATATAGTACAATCGCGTTCGATACACCGTTGGAAAGCCAACACGCTGGACACCTTAATTTGTTCAAGGCATGTTTATTTCTTGAAGTGTTTTGGAGTTATCGCCCTTGAAAGTTGGTGAATTTTTTAAGACGCATTTTCATAGGGTTAAGAAAAAGGTCTCAACTCTGCGAAAAATCTATGTATTTCATTTTTCGAAGTACCATCCTCTGGGTAATTGGATGGGAAACATTTTTGCTTCACATCATGGTTATGAAAAAATCAATAATAACGTCACCATTACGACACAAACACAGCCTTCGCGATTTTGCACATTTCCGCACTTTTTTGACGGTGCCTGTGTTTAACAATCTGCTGCTCCTGAACAGCAAATGGTACAATAGTGTTCTATATATCGTTTTAAAGCCCACACTCCGGACTACTTAGGTTGTTCAATGCATGTCGATATCTTGAATAGTGTCGGAGTTGTTGCACTTGGAAGTTGGTCATTTTTTGGCAAATCGCATGTTTCTAGGGTTCACAGCTCTGCGAAAACACAATGGATTTCCTTTTTGAAGGTACCACACTGTAGATAATAAAATATGGAACAATTTTGCTTCACATTGTTATTATGTAAAAGTCAATAGTTACGCCACAATTACGCCACAAACAGTGAGGGACATGAGGATTGCGCATTTTTTTCAGTTGTGAGATAGCTGGTGGAAGTGTCGTAAAATCTAGCACCACAGCCCGTGTCCTGGTTTTCCAGTGCCCACAGAAATAGTTTCCTCTTTAACAGGCCGTAACTCTGTTGTTCATAGGTCTACATTCAAAAGAATTAGTGTTCTGGAATTGCCAGGATGTGATCTCTCCAGCAGTCTGCAACATGTACCAGTAATCGCTCTTATAGTATATGTTTTTCTGCAGTTTGTGAATTTTCCGTTTGTGTCAGAAGCATTGAATCAATGCCAAATTATCTATTCATTACGTTGTCATTTAAAAACAGAAAAAGTCATAGCACTAAATTTAAGTTGAGTTGAGTTGAGCTTTACGTCACATCGGCATTTTTCCAGCCATATAGTGACGGGAACAAGTTTGCATTAGTAAATATTGTAAGTACATACTCGGAATGAGTTTTGTTTCAAAGACATTTATTGATTACATTGTCATTCAAAAGCAGAAAAGTCATAGCATCAAATTTAAAGGCTGGCGGTTTGTTACATTTCATAGTTACAATTTATGGTTGTTACATTTCACAGTTACAATTTATGATACAGATCAACTTCCCTCAGGTAGTTCAGTCCCTTGCAGGCGATAAGTCCACGCATTCAAGCAGAATATGCTTGACGGTGAACACCTCATCGCAAGAGACACACATGGGGGGGTCCATCCCCATCCGTTTTCAGCAGATAGTCATGTGTAAATCGACTGTGGCCAATACGACATCGTCGTAAAATTACCTCATCACGTCTTGACTGACAACCCAAGTAGGTATAACCGATTGTTGAAGCAGGCAGTTTGTTAGTCACATCAAACAGTTGAAATTTATAATACAGATAAACTTCAGGTTGTTCACTATCAGATGAGCGCTCACGCGGGAGAACAGACATCTCCTATAAAGAGACTACCACTGTAAAGCGTGGTCCACGTGCAGATATGGGAGACGATGTGAATTTCACCGACAGATGTAATTGACAATGACAAGGAGCTGTCAAATCTGAGTTGGAACGTCATCCAATGCCCACAGAAATAGCGTTACATCGGCATTATCCTAGCCATAGAGCGTCGACAACAAGTTTGCATGAATAAACATTGTAAGTACAGAGTGAGATATGAGTTTTATTTCAAATTGTTTTTTGAATGGGTGTTTAACAAATGCACTATATACACACATAAATCTATGGTTGTTTCACAAGTGCAGTATATGCACATACGTGTATGCCTCAGATAGCTAGGATCACGGCAATTCCAGAACACTAATCGTTCGGACCGTAGACGGCGGAGCTACAGACAGTTAAAGAAAGAACTATACCTTCGATGGAACTACTTAAAAGGTGCATGACCCCCGCGACCCCGGCTGCATTTCACCGATCCGCTCTCGTCTCAAAAACGTGTTCTCCCATGGTTTGGGACGCTTTCTAGCCCTTCAATACACTTCAATCACCCGTAACCCCGAGAGTTAAAATCGACGGTCCAGCTGGCGTCCAAAGAAACGGTAAAAGTGAAGGTAGCCACGGAGGGGTGTATGGGGAGGTCTGAAGACCGTCAGTATTGCCCTGGAGGCAATCCTAGTTATTATTATTATTATTATTTATTATTCCGCCGGATTTTGTACCACTCTTACAAAGAGCACCGCTGGACAGAAACTGTCGAAAAAATTCATGTGGATGCGCATCAACATGAACTGGTGCATATCAAAAATCCAGCTTGCTAGGCCCCATAGCAAAGGGCAGATAAATCAAAATCAATTAAATTTTTTTTTTATTTCAACAGCAAATATCTGCAAAACTACTCATCCAATGACTACCAAATGTCTTGAGCAGATGCGCAATCAAAATG